TTTAATATTTCTATTTTACTGAAAAGAGCCATGGAAGGAATTATGACCCAAAAGATTAAATACTTTTCTGAGATCTGAAGGTTAACTTTTAGTCTACACTCTACCAATAAATTATTGCACGATCTCAGAAAAGCTATCTAATCTGTCTGTGAAGTAGGGGTATTAGTTCTTCCCTACTTTGTAATGTAATGGCATTAGGTAAATAAATACATCAATGCTTGTGAGACGTTCAGATATTACTCTATGGTTGTTGTACAGATATGCTGAGAGATATGCAATTCTGCAGCTTCAGAGAGACACTCTATCAATTATTCCTCATATTTCTATGAAAGTGTTTATGCACAGGGTGAATTATTTTTTTCTTACTTATACATAATCCCACATATATGAATTATTAAATTTTACATTTATATAAGCAGAGTTTAAATGTATACATTGCAGAAAGGTTTTTGACTTCTCAGCAGTCAGCCATCAAATCAATTTCTGATGATCTACATTTGGTACTGCATTTTAATCAGTGTTAGATAAACAAGGGTCCTGCTTTTTTGAATTAAAGCTCCAGATTAAAATGAGCAATGACTGCGTAATTTCTTACTAGTTAATCACAGTAATCATTATTTGCAGATAAGTTCAGAGTACATCTTTGAGCACTTATGTACTCAGGTTTTCTAAAATAAATAATAATCCTTTTTCATAATTATCACACACCCTAGTTCTTTCAGGAGATCAATTACAAAGCATCAAACAATTGATTTTCAACCCAGCAAAGATATGAGTACTCTTCCCTGAATCTGAAAGGGGAAAATAGGTGTAAAGTTCCCTCTTGTACAGAAGACTAAAATATAAACTTTATCAAAAGCCCTGTCTAAACTTTGTACCGTTCTAGATTCCATCAAACTGACTCTGCCACAACAGCTTTTATTTGCACCACTGCACTGCTGATCTAACAATCAGCCATACCTCTCTGCCACTAATCAGTCACTTTATCTGTTTCTTTTTCCCTTCATGATTCTGCAAAGATCTTTAACTTTATTAGTAACTTCTTTGATGTAATGATTCTGGTTTTTCCCAAACTCTTTCCTTCAAAATTTTTAAGAATACCTAAGACCTGGAGATTTCTGCAATCACAATATTTATACATAAAGTCTACCTTGAAAACATTTGTAAGTAATTAAAAACCAAATAAACAGAAACAGCAGAAAACATCCCTGAGATGAAACTCCCTGAGGACTCTGAGACAATTTTTTCTTTCTCCTTATACTACATACTAGGGCCTGAGTGGCACACCAGCCTGAGGAAGAACTTAGCAGCAGGTAGGACCCATGTCTAAAAACCTCAGAGGCCAGGGGAACTCAGGGGGAAGGGAAAAGAGCAATTACATGAATCTTCCAGCCATAAAGCCTAAACCAGAAACCCCTGCAACAAGAAATGAGCACTAGCACAAGCGTAGCAGGCAACTTCCTTATTCCTATAGCCTGTCCAGAAGGTTTCCCAGAGGAGTCGATGGAGCATCCAGCCCCATCGTGGAGCTGGGAGATCAGAAGAGTGAGGAAGACAGTGCCCAGCCATGTGGTGTGGCGGACGTGACTGCTGTGTGCTATAGTCACTGTGTCTGAAATGAGCCCAGTGCGGTGCTATGTTACCAAAGCAGTGCATTTTGCCAGCCTGAGGCATTAAAAAAATCACAAGTCAGGCTACCAGAAGCCAAGAGAATATGCACAAATGATAGGTAGTGCAAGGAAAAAACATGCAGTTCCAGGTGAGTTATTTTTATTTTCTTCTGGTTTTGAGACTTTTAAGTACACTTGGATCACATTTCAAAACTTTTCTCTTTCTGTGATGACTAAAAAGTGATTCCCAGTCAGATGAAAGCAGTATAAGTGAAATTTCCTGTACCTGTTCAACTGCAGGCATTTGGACTTTCAAAAAAACTGTAATGTAAGATCATTCCTCACTTCTTTGGCTAACGGCTGGGGAAAAGTAGACAACAGGAGTATTTATTTCCGTATGATCGTTTTTGCTGCCTCTTTTTTTTTTTGCTTTGTTGTAAAAGCCACTGTGGACATAGCTATTTTTTTCTTTTTCCATCTCCTTTATTTACGCATTTCCTCAAGGCTTCCCACATTCCCTTGCTATGCAAATGCTCACACAGAGCTCACCAGCAGGGCTGCCATCAGCAGCAAAGCTCTCCTTCTGTGGCTGCCTAGCTTTAGCAATATCAGCTATGTGCTGTCCCTTCGAACCAAATAAAACTCTGCTTCTTAGTTTCGGTAGGAATGTCAACAGTGTAGCGTTTCGGTTTGTTTTGTTTGGTTTTTTTTTTTTTTTTTTCCTGTGAGAGGGGTTTGTGATTTGAAGCCTCTGCAGGTCTTGCCTCAGTAGATAAGATAATCAAGCTTTCTTATTATGTGCTATATATATTATTTTCCATACTAAGTCTGGGTTTGGTAGAAAGGAATCACAAAGACTGATAATTTTATGAATAGTAAAACCTTCATCAAGACCAAGTCGGGGGGAAAAAACTCAAACACAAAAACTCACTAGCTAATGCTTAAGTAACAAATGCCATCAAGTGCCCATTTTCTGAACAACTCTATTCAGCTGAAGTGAAATGTTCTTTACAACTATAATCCTCAGCAAACACACCTACCAAATCTTCTGATTTTCTTCTATTTATCCACTGGCAGAGTCATTATCAACTGGCTAGATTACAGCCTTCAGTAGATACTGCCTAAATACTGTGGAAAAATTCTAAGTTAGTGATGAAATTCAAGCACTTCAAAAATCACTCACAGAAGCTCTTGCCATAAACAGTAGACAGTCAAGGAATTTTGGTCCACCACATGATTTAAGTTTAATAGTGTTATTTCTGTCACTGTTGTATCAAGCCTTAAACTGACAGTTGTTTGAACAAGGGAAGTAGGAAAAGAGTCACCTGATTTAGGTTTTGCCATGTCTTATTTTACAACTTTTTGCATAACTGTATGTGTGCTGTCTGCTTGGTAAAGTTGAAGCTCTGTAGTTTTATTCTGACAATACATGTGGAAGATAGTAGGAAAACTAAACACCAAAAGTTTGTAAAACAGTTTGGTTAAAAATATTTATGTTAAGAAACTAAATAACAGTTTTGGAGTATAACAAATATGTTAAAGCCTCTTTGTCTTTTTTCTTCCTTTGTTTTACTCTTGGCCAGAGTCCTCTGATGACAGTTTTGGAACAAATCAGAATCCACTCAGGAAGTCTGCCTAGAAGCACTAAATTTCTGCAAGATTCATCTATACTGCATAGCAGGTAAGGTATCAAAGCAACTAGAGTAGTGTTACATCTCCTACTCCCCGACAGCATGAATGAAGTGACAGAAGTAAATATATACTTGAAAGAAAATTATTTTTAAGAGGGGCAAAGGCCCAAAAGCTGCAATTCTAAGTTTAAGTACGGTAAAGTACCCCTGTCTTACGCTTATATTTAACCAGAAAAGTGCAAGAAATTTAAAAAGATAAGATCTTGCTACAATTATTTAATGTAGGTTCATACTTTATCCATACATGAAATACAAAGACAAGGTACTATTTTGTTGAAGCATGCCATTAAATGCATAAGACAGCCATTTTCAATTTCAAGTATGACCACATGAAATGCAGCTCTTGCAGCTGCTCTCCTTCCAACTCTTTTCAAATAATTAAATTTTACATTTTTTCCTGCTTCCTGGAGTAATAAAAATCCTGGTTTGTCTTTTGTTTAAATGTTACTCCATTAATGACCCAATGAATTAAGGTACAAACACAGTGTCCCTCTTCTTTCTTTTTAAAGAATAACCATTGCATTTGATTTGCAGAGGATAGGGAAACATCTTCAGGATCATTTGAAATTTTCAGATAATTTTCCTTTCTTAAAAAAAAATTAAATTATAGGTAACACAGCTAACTCAAACTCTGTTGTTTTAAAACGCTCCTTAGTAAATAGAAGTGTGCAGTTTGCTCCTATACGTGCTTCATTTCCAGATTTTCTCCTCTTTATCCCACTCCCCCAGGCTTCAGAGTACCCATCTCCATGGCAACACTCGATAAGGCTGGTGGGTGGTGTTATCACAGCAGGCTTCCCCACAGAAGGTCTCAGTCATATGGATTATTTATGAACTTGCATGACAGCACCAGACCCACTGAAATACTTCTTCAGCAAGTTTTCTTGTCTCTGAAAGCCAGTGATTCAAAGCAGGGCATCCTCACTGCAGTCAGGGCCCATGAGTAGAGCAGATGAAGAGTACCATGAAGGTGGACACTCATCCATCCCCGAAGCTGCCTTGCTGCTGTCTGCAAGTTTCTCTTACCCTAGATGAACACCTAATGACATATTCTATAAATCATAAGTGTTATATATGCTAATCAGTGAAATCGGAAACTTGCAGCTTCTGACAAGAATAATAACATTTCAGTTATACCATGACTAAATTCTTGATACAACTGATACTGCTGGGAGGTGCTGTTGCAGATAGTTCTGTGTCTCTGAGTTAGTTCCTGGGAAAAAAAACAACCTAGCCGTTTGGCTTTGACACTATATTTTCTTCGCCTGATTTTTTTCCTAAAACTTATCAAAATCTGCTCAAAGATTGTATTAATTGTACTCTAAGCCCCATAAGCAAGAATTCACAGGGTAGTTCAGCCAGCTTTTTGGAGATGAGCAGTTTAGATGCTATAAGAAGGGTTTCAGATCAGCCAGTGAAGATGTTACCACCTTTATCCCACTCTTTCTCCTTCCTCAAATACAATCTGTCACTAATTGAGGTATAATGCTCCAGATTAGAAGAGCTTTATCATTTACAATGCTGAAGCTGACTCAACTCATTTGGAGAGAACTTGGTTAGAGCAGTTATAATAATCAGTTGAAGGAGGCAGTAAGAAAAAAAATCTGGTCTTGAGACAGCAGGTAAAATTGAAAAATAAGGAGAATTCAGAGAAGGAAGTCAAAATCACAGAATGTAGGAACCATGTTAAAAATACTACCTTGACAGAAGCTTTGTCATTTATCTTCCTTGGATACAGATTTGTAGCTGCAGACTGGGAGAGAACACCAAGATATTTAAGATATTGATGAAGAGACTTGGCCAAGTTCACATCATTTTCCAGATCATAATTTCTTTCATTATCTGCATTCTGTCCCAAAGTCCTGCACAGCAAAAGCAAGGAAAAGAAAGTTACCAGCCTGTACAACATACAAAGCGCCCAACTAAAAAGGCACTGCAAACCACTACAGTTAGTTCCATACATAACAAAAAAGTCACTCAAAAGCTTAGCAACCACAAAAGTATAGAAAATTCAATGTTTCAGCAAAAGCAGTCAAAAAATCTTGCACTATTAACAATTTATTTAATGAATCAAAGTTAATGATCCAAAATGCCTACTTCAAGGCAAAGCCATATTCAGAAGAAAAGAAAATGCTTGTAAAAAGAAAATATGCATGATTAAATTCTACACCAAAGAAATAGGAGATGGTTCTAAGATTTTAAAAAACTGCTGGGTGATGATGAGGTACAACATCGATTTGGCCCTGCACCAATTTACAGAATACAGTGAGACTACTGGATGTGCAGAAATAACAGCAAGTCAGCTCCAGCAAAAGGCTTAAAAAGGGAATAATGAGATGGAACATGTATCTCTTCTGATCTTCTCATGTGCCTGGGATTCACAGAATAGCAGTGTTTCCTGAATGGTTTAGACAGATCTTGGTGACGTTTGCAAAGAAAAGCTAAAAACGTGATTAAACAGCAGCAGTGTAGAGGTGTTTATATGGAATTCAGAGCTCTGTGTGCAATGACTCTGGATTATTACCGGCTCTCCTCATCTATCTCAACAACATGTCAATGATGATGGTAATTTAAATGTCAACACCAGTAACTATTTAATTCCCTGTGCAAGAAAGCAGAGAGAGGGTTCCCAGTTTGCTTCCTTCCCTGTGAGTGACACATTGTTTTGAGGCAAATCACCTCTTTGGAGTCACCATTTCCTGCCCACATGCCCACACACTTCTTCAGTGAAGAACAATTCCATGTGCAAGAGCTTTCCAGCTCAGGGAGATGAGGCATCATTTGGCTTTCAACATCTCCACACCACTGTAAGCAAAATTTTATTCTACCAGCCCATGTCATGGTGCTTATGCAGGGACACAGCTTGAGAGAGTACCATTATGTCATTTTCCAAATCTTGGGTTTAATTACATTACTTTATTCACAAAGTAACAGACTTCCTTCTATGCTAACAGTTGTATCAAATGTGTGTCCTGATTAATTTAATACCAATCAATGCAATTAATAAACTAATTTACTGTAGTGGCATTGCAACCAATAGTTCTCACAGGGTTACTCATTCCAAAGTACCAGAAAAACCCTCCGCCTCTCCCCAGTGTAAAACAATCAGCTACCCATCAGGCACACAAACTCTAGGAAAATGGTTTACTGCATGGAGTACTCTAGCAACCTTGATACAATTTACCATGACTCTGGCTTCCTCCCCATGCTGTTAATATTTTTTCTCTTATTCCAGAGCTCTAAATTCTGCCTTACAATGGAGGGTGGACATTGTAGGTAACATTATCCACCTCCGTTTCAACTTAAAGCTAGACTGAAAGTGTTCTGCAGTTTTAGAAAGAGCTGAGCAGTGTGCTTTCTGCTTCAATAGAGATTAACTAATCCAAAGAGGCTCTCATGGAAGGTATCCCAATCTCAAACACTCATCTTTCATTCATCAATTAATTCCAACACCTGCCTTCTCCTTTCTTCACTAACTTTGAAAAGAAAGGGAAAATGGAAATACCAGAACAAATTCTGCCCTGAGGATTTCCACTGGAGCTAATGGGAACTGAATGCACAGATAAAGACAGTATTTAGGTTAGGTTTTCAAGCCATTATTTACAGCATATAATCACTCACACTGGTGGTAGAAGCAAAATCTGGGGTCGAAGATTTCTCATTTTTCGTATAGAGGCAGTAATTGCACTCAAATTGTGTTTAAATTCTACATTAGATGTAGATGTTTTATGCTATAAACTTTGAAACAATTAAAATGTAAAAGTCTAACAAAGCATTACATTTCATTTGATGACAACTTTAATAAAATTCTATGAATACATCTGAAAGTTTTTAAAACACTTTTGTAGTTCACCAGTATATCACTGTTGTTCACCTTGTTAACACAGAAAGTAAAATGCATTAAATGAGCTATTATTGCAACTGAATTAAAATACTTTTCTTAAATATGACGAAGTGATACTGAAAAATGAATCAAAGACAAATGTATAAAAGCACCTGGTGAGTAGGAGAAATGACTGTCATCTGAGTTCCTGTTGTGCATATATTTGGAATTATTTTCAGTTTTAATTTGTTCTGAAAAAGGACTTTGCATACAATGAACTTCAGGGTGTAAGGACAGTAACATGTATAATTATTTATCCACAGAAATAATTATATATTCCCTACAAAAATCAGTGCTTTAGAAGCTTTTGTGTGGAAATATCTAAATCACAGCACCTCAGATATTTCTAGAATGTTCTCAATAGATATCACACATTTTAGAATAAAATTTCTCCCTTTTAAATGCTGTGAGAATCTTATTACTGACTTCATGATCGTTTTATTATAGAAATAATGCTATACCCCATTTCATACATTGAAGTTTGCTAGAAACGTTTGTGGGTTTGCCTAATTGCACCAATGAACACAACTGACATTTATTCCCTGTGTGCAGAATGGACTTTTTTCCTTTATCTCGGATCCTCTTTCAAGAGTGGTGTTTTTTTGAAATTTAATAAGGGCCCAGGAAATACTATGTACACTCCAGTTAGCCACCAAAGAAAGAACTTTCATCTTGAAATCAAGCACCCAATTTCAGCATTTTTTTAAGATGAAATCCATGTCTTCTGTTTCATCAGGTTTATTACGCACTAATTTAGCCTAAGTCAATTTACCTTTCAAGTGTCTGAGTCTATTTTCTTGCTCTCACAAACTCTGTGGGGATTAATGACTCATTAGTATGACTTCATATTGTCTTATTACACACGTTATCCTTAATAAAAGGTCTTCCTGACTTAATGTTTCTTTGATAATTAGATACCTACACTAAGTTGTTTTTAAATTATTTAATTATTATCTGATAAGATTTTAGCAAGCACACTGAGCACACTGAGCATATAGCAGACTTGAGCAGAATCTACAAGAGCCAGAGAAAAGGTTCCTACTGTTCTCTGACCTACAGAATATATTGCAAATGGACAACCAGAAAAATCAATTAATGCTTTAAACTGTTGGCACATAAGATAATGCTTTCAGAAGCACAGCTTGGTAACTTCAGAAAATCTACCAACAATAGGAACTGCTATAAGTGGAATGTATTTGAAATTCTGATGTTCCTGAAGTGTCAATAAACAAAATGGGTTATTTTTTTTAATGTATAGTTAAAAATGCAAAACACCTCAAACCTTATCACCACAGGAACTCCTAAAAATGATCATCTGTTCTCAGTCTATAAATTATTTCTTATATATTCTTATATGTTTTATTTTTATATAACTATGAATCTGGAACACTGCAGAATACAGTCTTGATCTCATGGAAATCTGGCCTATTTTATCTTACTCTCATGAATAAAAGTGTTAGATACATTCATTATAAAAAAAAAAAATCCCCCAGAAGACATTCAGAAGCATTTCTGATACCATCTACACAGAGTAATCCATACAGTAATGGCATTTTGTGTATCTAAGCAGCAAAAGCATGTTTATGGATTCAACCACATGTCATTATCACCGTTATGATAATCTACAGATCAGTATCTTCTTTAGAAGTTAAGTTTCTACCTTACTGCACTGCTGAAATATACGGTGCTGTGATTTTAAGGAATGTTTTTGAATCAGCAAATATGTGAAATACACAGTCAAATTCTATCAATTAAATCAAAACAAATTGAGGCAAACACAGCTGAAGCCACTAGGCAGCATCAATTACACAGCATTTTTATTTCCATAAAATTGTAATCTAGAAAATAAATGGTTCTGCAGTGTATGAATACCACATATTACGGTGTATGAAAATCTAAAGTCCAACATTCAATATCTTGCCCACCAAGGCTAGAAGCTCGAGCTTTGTCCCACTATGAAGAAAGTTTTATAACAAAAAGCTCTTACTTTTACTTTCACTAATTTTGGAACTACATTTCTTGAAATCACGTAGGACAAAGACTACCATACCAAAAGCCTTATCATTTTTAATGTTCCTAAAATTTTGTGCATTTTAAAATTTCCTTCTGGGATTTGTGTGGTTGGGTTGCACTTAAAAGCCTGTATGACAGAATAGATCTGGTAAAAGAGCGTATTTGTATGAAGATGGTATAATTGCAGGTCCTACATCCATATCACTCTATGGAATCATAGAGTTTGTGTCTCTTGCCACCAATAAACACTAAGTCACCCCTCAATATCTTTCAAGCCATGAGGAAAATGGCTTCTATAATGCAAAGAATAAATAGGAATGCCCCAACATGCTTTTTTTGTCATGGGAAGTTGCATGAACCATAGAATGGTTTGGATTGGAAGGGACCTTAAAGACCAGCTAGTTCCAAGCCCCCTGCCATGGGCAGGGACACTTTCCACTAGACCAGGTTGCTCCAAGCCCCATCTAACCCGGCCTTGAACCCCCCCAGGGAGGGGGCAGCCACAGCTTCTCTGGGCAACCTGTGCCAGTGTGTGGGCAGCCTGTGCCACCCTCACAGTGAAGAACTTCTTCCTAATATCTAATCTAAACCTACCCTCTATCAGTTTGAAACCATTACCCCTCGTCCTATCACTACCGTCTCTGATAAAGAGTCCCTCCCCATCTTTCCTGTAGGCCCCCTTTAAGTACCAGAAGGTCGCTATAAGGCATCTCTCCTTCCTGGACAAACTTTGCAACTCAAGCTGAGAATCTGCAGACTTCAAATCAATTACAGCTACAGTTTGAAAGAATATGAGTTTGAAAATACAATTAGCTGCTCAGAATGTCAGTCAATACTTCTTTTTGTTTCTTTTTCCTGGCTTATTCCAGAACAAAATGTTGTGGATAGTTATTGTGTAAGTCTGCCTTTTTAAGCCAGTCACAAGTAGAGCTGGCTGAACTGACAATACATGTCACATAAACTTGATAAAAGACCTGATGTTTTGAATCCTGACACCTAAATTAACAATAGAAAGCATATTTTCTTAACTTGATGATATTCAGAAGAAGAACAAGGTTGATGGCCTTCATTCATTCTGTCTGCTGTTTTCCTATTGGTGTTTTCACTGCTGTTGTACAACTGGTTTCCCTTTATCAAATTAGACAGTGTTTTCAGTGACATGTTTAATTCAGCTTCAGTATCAATCTATTTCTCATCATTTCCAAACCCTCCAAAAACCTACCAGGCAAAGACACCCTTGAAGACTTACCTTCCTGTGTCAGGTCCTTCAGATGTAAATATATCAGGGCGTCTGTTGTGGATTTTGTGAATGGTTGAGAGTTCCTGACCAATAACATGCTGTGTATAATCATCTCGCCAGGTAAAACCTGATAAATAATGAAAACAAACAAACAAACAAAAAAGAAGCAAATGCACTATTTAATAACTTGAAATTTTAGCAAAAATGCATCCTATATAAAAATATTTAAAAAAAAAAAAAAAGCGCTTTTTTCAATTGGAACCCAAGAGTGTTCTCTTCTGTATGAAATTTTGTTGATCAAACTTTCCTTACAATGGAAGGAAGACAGTAGATGATGTGAAGAGATTTTGAAAAACTTTACTCTTAGCAGAATTTTAGCTAGTTACAAACTAGATTTAATAGATAAAAAGGGTTATTTCAGACAGGTATGGAAAACAGTTATCTCACTAGCTGGCATCTAGTGAAGGGTTGCTTCGCTTCTTACCCATTCACAGCACACTGTCCCTTCTCTGTTTTCTCCATTAAACTTCGCTTTTAGGACATTTAGGAGCTAGTACTGCAGTGGAAATAACTATCTTGAGTTTTAGTATAATGCATGTGGAGGTCAATTTGTGTTATCTTTATACTTAAATGTTATGACAAAGAACTTTACAACAAGGGGGAAGTGTAACTATGAAGGCAAATACCAGTGATTACTCATTAATTACATGCACTGCCAATCTCATGGTAATTATACTTAAAATAATGATATAATACCAAACATAATTGTAACCCCATTTGTAGATTTTAGATGTTATGGTAATGCTTTAGTTCATAGAACTTGGCCATGCAATTATCTGTAATTATCTAATAACTAAATATCACATAATTTAAGAGAATTCCTGGTTTTACGCCATGTGCAGTAAAACACCACAAAACCCTCAGATGAATATTGGTAAAAGTTCCAGATATGGTTATCCTGCTAATATCTTCCTGTAAGAAACCACCTAAAGAAAAATACTCTCTAGCACCAGATAGAAGGGGACATATCTGGTTGTTAGAATCAGTCTCGGTAGGGGGATTTTCTGCTTCAGTCCCTATTTCATACACCCATTATAAACTTCATCACTGTTTCCAGTCAACACAGATTTGTTGGTATAGGTAGTCTTTCAGGATGCAGGTAAAGCATCATCAGCCTCAGGAGAACCCAGAACCTGGCCACATCAGTCCTTGGATGAGCACTTTATCCAGTAGGCTATTAAAAAAAGGGCTGTATTCTTCAAATTTTTCCACCGTATTGAGGTGGATTTCATTGTCTGTTTACTTAAGCCCAGAATTTAAAAACGTCTAAATAGGAGATTTGTCCATTCTGCCAAAGCAGACAGTTCTGAGCACGCAGAAGTAAAAATTACTTTATCATTTTCAGTCTAAGGAGGAGATACTTAAAGAAGTTGGATATAAGATTAGACAGGCCTAGAAATTATTCAAATTGTGCTGTTGTCTGGGATTTAGACAAGTTACAGGAAATAAAGTCCCCATTTGGGCAAGATTTAGGTGGACTGCATCTCAAACTTTTTTTTTTTCCAATTAATGAAAATAATAATAATAAACAACAATCTAGAACAAATGTAAGTATGAATGAAGGCTTTAACAAACAAAAAATATCTCTGACACTCCACTTTTGCTCCTTCTTTCTTCTTTTCTTAAATAAAAATGTTACTCAAGTTTATTGAGGAGACACTTCATTTGAAATCATGTTAGATGTTAATGGCTACAGTAAATGACTCCAGACCCTTGGGAGGGGGAAGAATCTCTATCTGTATCTAATCTATTTTTAGTTCTGATTCATCCTTTTCAAATGCAAATCTCACCTTCACAAATCTCAATCTAAGGCTGCTCAGAGCATGTCCTTATGTGAATACACAAAAATGAGTCACCATCCACCTATGATTATTTTGGTGTAGTTTTTAAAATTATTTTTACATGAAAGTTTATATATATATGTATGTTCAAGTTTACTCCCCTGTTGCCTAGCATGACACATTTCTGTTTGTTTTATAAATTCATGCAGGAGAAAAAACTAAGATAATAGTCAAGTTTAGAAGAATGTGCAACAAAAAAAGTTCAGCCAAAATACATATACATTAAAATCATTAGCACAGACATAAAACTACTAATTTATGAAATATGTGTCCAAAATCACTACAGTTTCACTTTGTAACTCTAAGCCAATACTAGCCCTAATAAAGGCTAGAGAATACCCGATAAATAATATAAACTTTGAAGAAAAATGCACAGAGCTACTCTGAAGAGTTTTGTTCAAATTAAAGCAAGAAGAGTTCATCTCCAGTCCCTCCATACAGACAGAAAATTAATCTCACTCAATCCTGAGCAATATATATGGCTGCAGAGGGGACAATCATCAGTTACGTTTTTATACCTCCACAAAAAAAAAGTTTTCAGTAAAAAACCATTAAGAAACCATTGCAATCCCAGTTCTTACTGCTCATGATAACACTGTATCTTTTGTTAACTTCAGTGTATACTCTTTCTCCTGCATCACTATTTTAACATTTTCTCCTAATGCATTTCAAACCACTATATCATCCTTAATACCGTAAAAGAATACAACTGTGACATAAAACAGAGTAAATAGATGAAAGAAAACCAAATACTACTTATAGAGCTTAAGGAACTAGAGTTAAGGGAATATGCCCTCTCAGCTGTATCTCCTAGCACTTCTAACAAACCTAAGAATTAGAATAAGACATGGATGAAAAAAAAATGTAAATTTTAACTAATTCAAAAATCACCTCATCAATAAGTTAATATTGCTGGGTTTTATGCAACTATCTCAGGAACTACAACGTGTCTACAGCTAAACTTATGCCAATCATTTTGCACCATTGTTTCAGTTTCAAAAAAATCTCTCCCACACACTGAGCTCACTAAAACAGCACATTCGAGAACCATAATGCCACGCTGACAGCTGCAATCAAAATTAAAGTTGAGAAGGAGCATATGACGCCGTATGGTGATTTCCTGTTCCCTTTGTCTCTGCCATCACACCTAGCGCCAGCTCCTGCCTCACCACCCAATTATTACAATTTGTCTCCACTGGCTGAGCAGGATCACAGGAGTGCTCTTGTACACACATTACTTCCATGTCACTAACGGGGAACGGTATGGGGGGATGCCCAATCCCTGATTAACCATCCCCCCTGCTGCAGGTCTGCCCAGGACCTGCATCTCCCAACCATGAATTCCCACAGATGGACAATGCCAAGGAAAGAGAGAAGGAGTCCAGTAGGCACTGAAGTGATGCAAATACTATGACAACAGCAGCAGATATAAAATTGCTTTCAGTTGAAAAGCATTGATAGTAGTAAGACCCCATGAAAAACAGCCATTGATACCAATTTTCCCCCCAAAAAGTAACACTTTTGACTGGTGTCACAGCCAAAGGTTTAATCCTTTTTTTATCAGTTGAAACTCCATAACTTAAATGACGTGAAAAGGGAATGGTAGTGTAGAGACAGTGAAGACAAGATATTAATACCTTTATTAAACCCAGCCTGCACATCAAAACCAATGCAGGTGCTCCAGATACGATGCTGTCTTTCCATATTGTCGTCAGGTACCTCCCCGGATCTTTTCTTTCCAAGGCACAATTAATTATTATTATTATTATTACCAACAACTAGAAAAATAATAATGAAATTATTATTGTCTAGGTCCCTATTATGTTGAATATTTGGCAATGACTACGTCAACAGAGAGTATATGTCTAAGAATTATTTTATTAATTGAAATCAAATCAAAAGCAAGCAGTGTAAATAGTGAAGAAAACCATTTTCACAGATTCACGCTGGTGAAGACAGTATTAACTTCTGTCTCCAAAATTAAAGTCAAAATCATTTTCACATTTATCATACAATTTCACTTTTAACCTGCTTAACTGGCTTTGCTGCTATACTGATTACACAGAATTGTTGAAAAATAATCAAAACTTAAATATGTATTTCCTTCTCTCAGCTGTTCAATTTTTCTAAGTAATGGCATTCCTTCCTGTGGTTTTGACTCTGCTTTTCATTGTAGAGAAACTTGAAACCTCTCCAAATGTGCCTGACCACATCTTTAATGCATGTAAATTATATTAGCAACTGTTGAAAACATTCATCTGCTACTTCACATTCTAGTTCAGAATTATTCATACAAATAATCTTCACTCCTCTGAAGGCCTAAGCAAGAAAAACAACAGCTTTTTAACTTTGTACACATTTTAACTGTACATCAGTAGAGCCCAATTTAAGTCCTTCAAAGAAACAACAGTTCTCACTGCCGAAAGATTTGGCTATGCAACTCCTGCTCATACTCCCGACCCTTTTCCCAACCAGCCTGGCTGAGGCTGCGTGGGGCACTGCAGGCAAGTCCAGGAAAACTTCGATCTGACAGGATAATGGTGTGAGTCTCTTCCAGCCCTTGTGCCAACTGAAAACCAAAATGATTAATTCTGCATCAATATATTAGCAACAAAATTGATTTTATGTACCACGTCTATTCAAAGCAACAGGAGATTATTATATATTGGCAGAAACCTATATGCTAAATCTTGATCCTTCTTTGTCAGGAAAATCCTTGTATAAAGGCCAAAAAAACCCTCAGAAGTATTCAGACTTGAAGCCAGAACATGTTACTATTTTTGATTTGTGACACTATTTTTCCCCAGTTTTTGGTAATGTCATCCATTTTGTCCCTACATGGTGGATGACAAAACAGGTTTTTCTCTGAGCTACCTTCAACTGCTACTTCATTTCAGCCAGGAAACTCTCAGTTGTAGAGCTCAGAGACCTTCATCCCCCATGCCATGTGTTGCAAATTGTTAATGCCTACTTTAGCTGTCAGAATGTCTGCAGAATTGGGAATGATTGGCTTTCTTCCCTATTTTCACAACAGACAGGTCAACGTATAGACATGCCTTTCTGCAGTCTGCCTTTCCACATTCTCCAGAGGAGCTGTACTTGTTCTCATCCCAGACCTCCGTTTTCAGACCTCAAGGACATATGCAATAATGTTCACATATTTCAGTACTGGCTAAGTCAAAATTGCAGCTTTAATGCTGAGGTTGCTACGTGTATAACAAAATTA